GTCAGCAGCAAACTGGTTGATCCACTCTGAGAAGGTGCTATTTAAGAGACTGAGCTGAATACAGCTCCTCAGACTGAAGAAGTCCTTTGGATAAACGATAGAATGTTTCTATGAGAAGAATCTGTCCAGAGGACTCGACTGAACTTTGTTAGATCATTCAAACTTCAATAATTATCAAGTGTTCAAGATAATCCAACAATTTTCAGTCAGGTCATCTGGACAGTTTCTTTTTTTGCTGAAAGGTTTCACCTTCCATCCAGAAGGCTTCATCAGTCAAGGAAACACACAACACAAAACTGATTCTTCCCCCAAACAGGTTACTCCAAAGTGGAACACACCAGTTATGCTGATGTTAAGATGGTGTCTATGGCACACCCCCTCCTCCGGTGCCGGCCCTCTCCCTCGTTGACAGTCGTGTCAAACTGGGTAAAAACCAACAACGTCCATGCTCAATAATCCAGGTATACAATCCAACATTTTTCAGTGAGGTCATCCGGACAGTTTCTTTTGTTGTGCTGATGACCTGACTGACAAAGATCGTTAGTGGAGTCAGTGAGTGATGCTGCGCGTGGCTGAAGGAGGTGAGTGATGGTGGAAAACAGTATTCTGAAGTTACCAGGGTTATTAGAGATTATACACGAGTAAAATAAAGATCAGGAGTCTTTGAGGGACCTAGCATACATCTTACGATGCTCCATATAACTAGCTTGAAAGAAATTAAGCTTTTACATAGTATTATAAATACTTTTACTGTTGAATGTTTCTTCAGTACATGTCCACGCTCACAGCGTGTCTGCAGGAGATAAAGGCATGGATGCAGCAACAGTTCCTTCACTTTAACAGTTCAAAAACAGAAGCAATTCAAATTGGTACTTCACATCAAATTCAACAACAACAAATCCTCAGTATCTCTTTCTCTGGCCAGAACATTTCTCTTTCCAGGACAGTCACCAATCTTGGTGTCATTTTGGATCCTCAGCTCACCTTTGAAAGTCATATAAAGCACATCTGTAAAACAACAAAATCCTCAATAATCCAGGATTACAATCCAACACTTTTCAGTCAGGTCATCTGGACAGTTTCTTTTGTTGTGCTGAAACGGTTCGCCTTTGATCCAGAAGGCTTCATCAGTCAATGAAACACACAACAAAACTGATTCTTTCCAATGACTGTCAACAAGGAAGAGGGCCGGCAATGGAGGAGGGGGCGTACCAAAGAGACCATCTTATCACAAGCAGAACTGGTTTGTTCCACTTTGGAGTAAGCTGTTGGGGGAAGAATCAGTTTTGTTGTGTGTTTCCTTGACTGATGAAGTCTTCTGGATCAAAGGCGAAATGTTTCAGCACAAAGAAAGAAACTGTCCAGCACATCTGTAAAACTTGTTTTTTTCATCTTTGAAATATTGCAACGCTTTGGTCTGTCCTTCACCGATGCAGAAAAGCTCGTCCATGCCTTTGTCTCCTCCAGACTGGACTACTGCACTTCTCATCAGGATTCCTGTCAAGAACCTACAGAAACTCCAGTATGTCCAGACCAGCGCTGCCAGGGTCCTGATGAGAGTGTGTAAGCACGTGCACAGCACCCCTGGACTCCGCTCACTTCACTGGCTTCCTGTTTCTGCTCGGATCACTTGCAGAATGTATCTGCTCACCTTCCAGTGCTGGTGCGGTGATGCTCCATCTTATTTAAAAGAACATCTCACCCCTCGTTGTCCTTCACGCACTCTCTGCTCTTCCAACACTCTTCTTCTTCTCACTCCCAGGTCTCGGTCCAGCACTACAGGAGACCGGGCTGGCCCTCGGCTGTGGGACGCCCTGCCTTCATGTCTGAGGCCCCACAGACCGTGACATGTTTTAATAAAGATCTTAAAACCTTTATTTTTACCCAGTTTTTTAAATGACTGATTTGTACTTTTGTTTTTTATCCACCCATAGTTCTGATTTGAGTATTTTATCTGCATCTTGTGCATTTAAAGTTTTGATGTGATCATTGTGAGGCGTTCTCCTCCTGGTTGTTCCTCCTCTCTGTTGCTTTTATCCTCATGTTATCTCATGTTATCCTCATGTTATCCTCATGTTATCTCATGTTATCTCATGTTATCTCATGTTATCCTCATGTTATCTCATG